TCCGGAGGAGTTCTCACCTACATCGTCCACAAGGGACGACTCGGGAACTCAACTCCTACCTCGGGCAGCTCACCTTTCCCCCTATGCCCAGGGGAAAGGTATCAAGCCGTTTGACAGCAGATGCAGGCTGTCAAAACGGCTTTTACGCAGAAACAGGCGGGAGCAGCAAACAGCTGCATCCAGCGAAGGCGCCTGCCATTTTTAATTTTGAAGGTAAAATTTAATGGAACGCATCAGGTGCCAGTCTAATTGCACCTACATATTTCTGCCACGGTGTAATGTTGGTACCGTAATGCTCCCTGATTATTCCCACAAATAACTCTGTAAAGAAATATAATTGTCAGAATCCAATTATATTTCATTTCTAGCTACCTACTCTGAAATAAACCCATTTCCTATTCTCACTGGATTCTGTCATACTACGAAAGGGGAGGAGGATAAGCAAGGGGGTTTTATGACTCTCACTTCCTTCATTTAAACTACAAAGTGACTGGATGTTGATTCTCATCAAGAGGACTGACCATAACAATATGGCCATCGCCTTTCATCTACTCTCTCTCTGAAGTCTCCCTTTTGCTGGCAGTGAGGGAAAAGGGGTGGAACAATGCAACGCCTGGGATCTGGGAAAAGAGAGGATGAGTGATCGTCGCCCGGAAGAACTGTGGGGTGGGGGCTGCTTGGGAACACTTAAAACATTGAATGGTAGGGGTTGATCCCTCAGATCCTGTCTAGAACACCTGCAATCATTTTCTCTTAATAAAGATGCCTGTTGGAAGAGAGATTCCAAGAGTTCTGTCATCTTAAGATGTAAAGTGAGGTGGGTCCTTACAATAATATTCCCACGTGTGATGCAGATGGAAAAAAGGAGAGGGAGAAGAGGGCTGAGAGAATATCCAGGGGCAGCGAGGGGATTCATACTTGCAGAGGGCAAAGCAAGCCCCGATGTGGCAGGACCCAAAAGAAAAAGACACCTGGCAGCGATTACCTTAGGGCCAAGGCCACGATGCATCAGAGCCAGCTCAGAATCTTTCATATGCCGTAAAAAATAAGAGATAGGAACCACGCCATACGCCTGGCAGATCGCAAGGTATCTGGTTTTCCCGGCAGGATCATAGCATATTGTAGAGACTAAGCCAAGACAAAGGAAAAAAATTAAAGCAATGGCCCTCCTTGGCTTTCTGTAAAACCACCAGACTCTTGAAGCCTCTGTAGTTTCTGGCCGTGCACCAGCAAGGTGGCCTTAAAAACTACAGCACCAGCCAAGGCCCACCGCCATCCCCACAAACCAGATACTCGTTCATTAGTCTTGTATGCAAAGAAGTACAGAGGGGATGGTGACTTTCTCCAAGTGATTCACAAAAGAGTTTGGTGTGTTGTTTTGAAACTAACAAGAGCTGCACCAAAGTCACAATACCTTAAAAATGGCTGCCAACTATTACTTGGCTTAAAAAGAAATAAGACACATTTGTGGAAGCCAGGCTAACAATGAGCAATGTCAAGCTTTCATTTCAGAGGCAGAATATTCATGGCTTTGACTGCAGGGTGGCAACTCCAAGTATTACAGGTCATAATATTCTGCCACCCAGGCATCAGATATTCAGAATTAAAAATACAGGAATGAACCCGTTACCAATGTTAATTAAAGAACGGCCAAAGTCTCGTGAGGTTGTCTTAAGATTTATATCAGGTTGATGGGGAGGGAATAACTGATGCTTGCTTAGTTGCCAACTTATCCTTGAAAGCTCTTTGTTTGTTTATCTGTTTGACACATTTATATCCTGCTTTTAGATCAATA